GGGGGTCATCACCTTTCATACTCACAAAAGAACACATTTCTGTGAGGATTTTTACTGGAAAAAACGTATATCAAAGGTACAGAAAATGTAAATTTTCAGTTTCCACGGACTCTCAAGCTAAGGAAATAACTATTCCTTGGCAGCCATTTTCTTACTAATTAAACCCCTGAAATCACATGCTTGTATTCGAGATAAATTGATAATATTGCTTTCATCGAAAGCAATATAAACGAACAAGCTTTAGAATGATACCAGTATGTCTACAAGCCCCAAAATTGACGAGAGCCTGATTCCACCACGTCGTGACACAAATACTCTGACCTTTGAAGTCGATGATGTTTCTGAGTGTTCTCGTTTCTTTGAGTAAAAGAAGCACATTGACACAATAATGGTCATTGGGTGCTGGGAAAAAGGGAAAGAGTAAGACAGACAGACAGAAACAAGAGAGGGAAAATACAGAAGTTGGACCTACCAGTGGCGCCCTTTAACCACCCACGCAGAGAGAAATAACAAAGGGAAAATACAGAAGCATCACCTACAAGTGGCGCCTTTCAATCACCCGCTGAGTGTTCTAGGGTCTATTGGGATAAGAATAGTTGTAAAGCGCATAGAGCATGGGTGGTAGGCAGGTGCTCTGGAGTGGTTTGCTCCTTCTTTCCTATAAAAACTATCGTCCTTCTCTATCTCCTCCTCTTCCTTTTTTGTGTTTGTTACTCTCTTGTCACACCTCTAATCTTCGGCCCTTATATGACCTTATTCTGTTGCAAGTGCCGTAAAACTCTTTTTTAAAAGTTCATAGAGCATGGGTGTGCGCTGTACCATTGCATTTATTGTTACCAAACAAAATTCGGTCGCTAGCTGTATTTTATCAAGCGATTCAATGTCTTGAATTATTTATTTTTGTTTCAGTTTTATATAGCATTACAATGGTTAACCTTTACAAAGACACAAAATGACATTAACTTACTATACTAATGACAAAAAATTACGGAGAAGAACAAAAAATACTACGACTGGGAATATTTTTGTTCATTTGTTCTTTCATAGTTTTTTTTTTCTTTCGGATGGTTTTGTTATTATTATTTCGTTTGTGGCGGAGCGGTTAATGTGCTCGTCTCCGAAGCGTAAGTCCGAGTTCAAACCTCGGTTTGCACACAGATTTTTAACGCCCCCTCCTGCCCACCCAGCAGTAATGGGTACTTGACTTGGAGTTGGGGAAGTAAAAGCGGCGTGGAAAGGAACTGGCCACCCTACCACAATATGCCGAAGGCCCAGGAAGTTGTCTCACTAACAAGGCAATCCCAGATGCCCGGATCGGGTGTGGGAACAACACTTTACTTTAAAATGTATTCCTCAACATGATGCAATGGTGTTTCTGTGTACTGTGACAGTTTAGGTGAGAATGAACAGACAGTAGATAGACTCACCGAGCCAGCCGAGGAAGACATCTGTGAGAAGATGTCCTGGATAGCCCTGGGAACCTCGCCTGTGCCAGACAGCACTGTGCCGTTGGGCAAGGTTACTGTCCACTTGCGGACTGTGGTGATCTGAGGTCGGGGGAAGGAAGGGGTAGATGGGTGGGGAAGAGGGAAGAGGGGAAGAGGGGAAGAGGGAGATGGGTGGGGAAGAGGGAAAGGGGGAGGTAGGTGAAGGGGGATGGGAGAGGAAGGGGGGATGGGTGGGGAAGAGGGGAGATGGGTGGGGAAGAGGGGAGATGGGTGGAGAAGAGGGGAGATGGGTGGGGGAGAGGTGAAGGGGGAGATGGGTAGAGGAGGCGTAGGGGGTAGATGAGTGGGGAAGAGGGGAAGGGTATATGGGTGGGGAAGAGGGGTAAAGGGAAGATGAGAGGGGAAGGGGTAGATGGGTGGGGAAGAGGGGAGATGGGTGGGGAAGAGGGGAAGGGGGAGATGGGTGGGATCGAGTTTTTGTGGTTGATTGGGGTGGGGGGGGTAAAGAAAGATGAGTGGGGAAGAGGGTAAGGGGTAGATGAGAGGGGAGGGCGGTAGGGGGTATATGGAAGGGGAAGAGGGGAAAAGGGGGATGAGTGGAGAAGAGGGTAAAGGGTAGATGAGTGGGGGATTGGGAAAGGACCCCCTTCTCCTTTTATTCCAACTCCTCCCTCCCCCCGATTATAATTTTTGGACCATTAGTCCATCCCCGCCCCCCTATTTTTTATTCGATACCTTAGAGAACACCATAAACTGATTATGCTCTTTAACATCTATAGGAGGAAAAGAATGTTAAGAACTTGCTAACCATGGCAGAGAGAGTAATGAGAGTAAATTATAGGAAATTATTTCAAGCAATTTGTAATGATCACAAATGACATATCATATCAAGCATAAACATCCAGTTCTTTATCTACTATGAAACAAAAATAAACTTCTCTACTAAGTATTAATAACGAAACAAATATCTCATCCCATCTAACCTGTGGAAGCATCAAAGTGCCTTGCACGAACTGTGTGACCCCGGCTGGCAGTGACCCATGACCTTCCATAACCTTGACCCCGCTCGGTCGCGTGATGACCCAGTGTGGCTTGCCCCCGTCCTGGCTGGTGGACTTGAGCACGGTGGTGGAGGGGTTGTTGAAGTATTTCTGTAACACACTGGCCGGAGGGGACCCTGGAGGGGGGAGGAGAGAGAGATGAGG